ATTATATAAATATACACGTATATATATTCTGTGTTTTTCTTCATTTCAAAAAACACCAAAAACATGCCTTACCTTTGTGAAAACATCCATAGAAATAAAAAGTCCCTGAAATGCCTTAAAATGCAAGATTATGTCCTAAAACATGCTGCCAAGTGAATATTTTGTGTTTAAAACTCCAAAATGTATTTTATATAAATATTTCAAAAAACACCAAAAACATGCCTTACCTTTGTGAAAACATCCATAGAAATAAAAAGTCCCTGAAATGCCTTAAAATGCAAGATTATGTCCTAAAACATGCTGCCAAGTGAATATTTTGTGTTAAAAACTCAAAAAGTGCCTGTTTTAGGACATAACCTTGTATTTTAAGGCATTTCGGCGACTTTTTATTTCTATGGATTTCTTCACGATGGTAAGGCTATAGTAAGGCATGTTTTTGGAGGCATGAGTTGGAGTTATCTATTGATCTTAGGCAACTTCGCAAAGGCCACTGTCCCCCTCTGTTTTGCCATGAGAGAGGTCTGATAGACCAGCTCTTAGACCGCTCACCAGGTCACTCAGATTCTTGTCTTAAAACTGTGAGAAAAACACAAAACTTCTAATTCTCCAACATATCTAACAGTAAGAGCATCAGCTATGTGCCGCAGTGATTCCACTGTTAAAATTGGTAAATGATTGAATATTCCTTGACAAATATTTCTGTTAGCATCATTACCTCGTGTATCCTCCAAATCTGTCTCTTCTGCACTGCTTTAGGCTCTAAGTTTCCTCACACTCTGCTACATCAGAGAAGCCAGTGATATGAAAATGTGACACACTCCTCAGCCAATGGGAGCTGAGAACGAGAATGTTGTGTTGCTATGCCACAAAGCAAGAAGAGCAGAACTGTTAACACCATAGAGGAGAGGCTCCAGTGGACTTATTAAAATGGCAATTCTCTGTGGGTGTATTACAGTAACTATAAGTGGGTGAGCGGTGGAATGCTTGGAGCGACAGTCCGCATTATTCTGCATGTGTTCGAATTTTTTTAATCAGAAAAATAAAATGGTTTCCTTGAAATTCTTTTACAAATATCATCGTTTTTATTCTATTTACTGTATTTACAGAATATTACATACAGGAGTGAAAGGAAAAAAAATATAAATACAGATTTTTTTTTTGTGACTTAACCTTTGCCTTTACCACTAGCACTAGTCTTAGGGCCCCAATCAGGTACTAACGGTGGTCATTTATATGTAGGCTACATAACTGGTAAATGAAAGAAAAACAGCTCGAGTTAGATAAGCAAACATGTGAGTCCTACAAAGGAAATTTTAACTTTGTTTTTTCCAAAAATCAGAAACAAATGGACAATTTCAAAAAAACCTTAGACAGTGGTCGGCCAAGGAAAAGTAGAAAAACATCATTAGGTTATACAGGGCGTCCTCGACATACGGCAAGGTTAAATCGCCTACTCTTATACATTTATTAACAAAGTCTTGTTCCATCATTCCAACATACAACGTTTAAATCCGCCAACTAGTTCACATGAGAACTAGTTCACGAGTGGAGCGGAAGAATATGTGCTGCTATACTCGGGAAGACATCTTTGTTTACATATCATACATTGGATTGTGTTACATTCGCTTTCTTTCTTTGTTTGTTGTTTTTGTGTTTGTTTGCCCTTCATTATGACTCCCAGGCCTAAGTCAGATTCACCTGATGTTTTTATGTCCAAGATCAGTGGTTCTCAAACTGCGGTACGCTAGTGGTACACGGGGAAAATTTATATTTTCACTTTTACATTTTCAATTCATACAACATTTAGACAAAAATGTGTAGCTACTTGTGAGATTATGTATTGAGATTAGGCAGTACGGAATTATGGGAAAGTTTGAGAACCACTCTCCTAGATGATGATGTTACCACCGTGTTAGCCTAGCATTAGGTGGGTGACATAGGTACTTATGTACATAATGGGAGTACTGACTTATGGCAAACGTCGAGTTACGCTGCGCCAAAAGAACGGAACTCTGACGTACATCGAGAACCTGTTGTTGAGTTAAACCTTTAAATATATGGCTGTGAAAACTGTTTTCCTACTTAACATTTTTAAACATTAGCTAAAGGAGCGGCAACAGTCAAAATAATGTAAGTGAATACTTAAGTAGTAAAGAAGTAGCGATTTAGCAAGTTTACTACTACAGTGCAGAACTACTACTGTTGATGCTTTCAACATACTTCATCATAACGGCGCCTTAAAAGCTTTTTGCCAGTGAGTGCACATTTGAAAATACTTTATAGGGCTTTGCAGAGTTACTCAAGTTTTCTTGACCTTTTATTACGTAAAGTTTACACACATTTATACGCTGGTTTACGGGTTCAGTTACAGACAGAAGATGGTCAGAACAGTTCCGTGGAGGTCTGTTCCAAAATTCCGACGAACAGGAAACACACAAGACTCTACCGTTTTACACATTTGTTTTGGTGCAATCTATAACCAGGTAGGTTTGATGTAAACAAAAAAACAAAACAAAAAAAAAAAATTGGTGTTTTTTTAAAAAACAACTAAACGCTCAGTACACTAACTAGACTTTTTTTTTTTTTACATACTTTTCTAATAATTTAATTTTCTCGAGAGTTGTTACTATTTACATGGACAAATATATATATATACAGTATAAATATTTCTCCAGGGTAGAACAATGAAAATGTCAGGGCTTAATGTGAGGAGAACACACAGACGAAACAAGAGAGAGAGAGAGAGTTTTTGGAGCAGTTTTGCAATTTGCTAAAATCTTTTTAAAAAGATTTTATCCCACTGACCAGCTGTTGGTAAAAGCAGTTGTCTTGGTAAGCTCGGACAGACACATCACAAGGTCCTTTCAAGGTTCTTCCTGGGCCGCAAGGTGTGCAGATTTCAGATGTCCAACATCTGGCCAGTTACTTAAAAGAAGGAACAAAAATTACCATTAAAATCAGTTTGTGCATCATCATAAAGTAAATGTGCAAAAAACAAAAAGAAAAAGAGGGGTTTTACTTAGGCTTTTCCACAAAGAGCAGATGATTGTTGTTGAATGTCTGGTAAGAAGTTAGTAGATGAACTCTCCAGGAACCTCCTGCAGGACGGCGGCAAACGGCTCCTCAAACTTGAAGCGCTTGGAAACGGCCTTCTGCTCAGTGGCCCGAACCTCCATGTCTGAGCTGGAAGTCTGGCGGCACTGACCCAAAGTGTAGGCCGCCACCACTATCAGCTCCTCTGTCACAGGCTGTTCCTCCTTTAATTCCTCCTCCTCCTGCTGCTGCTGCTGCTGTGCTGCGTTCACGTTGCCGACTGGGTCATGCACGATGGCGCTGCAGGACACTTCTTGGTCCTTCGGTGGTTTTAAAGGCTGAAGCCAAGGATGCTGGAGACACTGCTCGGCTGTGGCTCGATCCCTAAAGATACGGAAATATTAGCACACGTAGTTGAAATGAGATATTTTCATAATGTATTAAACTCAACTCAATACTTTGAACTCTCTACAGTATATGGATTTGAAATGTTCAAAAATCAGTGTAGCTTTCGTTACAATAAACAAACAGTATTTTTGTATTGTAGTATCTTATAAGTGGTAGATTGATCAGAAAGATGCAGATTCCCTATTTCAATTTAAGTCTCTAGGATAAGATTTAAACTGTACTTACCTATAATTATATTTACATATATATGTTTATATAATATATATATTATATATATTTTATATATATATAATATATATATTATAATGTTTATAATATATCATAATATTTACATATATATGTTTATATATATGAAATATAATGTAAATAAATTGGATCAATTCTGTATTCCAACTGATTTCCCTGTATGGTGCTGCAGTGAAGTGTGTGCTTTACTGTGGCTTCTTGCGGAGCAGCATCTGCATGAAGGACAGGGCGGCCTGGTCCAGATGCCGCAGCTCGTCCTCGGCATAGCTGATGTTAAGCTGGGAAATGTTAAGGAACGTCTCCTGCTTGTCCTCGCCCAAGAATGGAGAGACTCCTGTGAGCATCACATATGCCAGAACCCCAATACTCCTGAACACATGGGCAGAAGTGAAGTCACTGTTAGTGTTGAGCTGATGTGTGACAACATGAAAAGCTAAAGTTACATCACAGTAATCACCGGGTTTATATTAGTAAGTACACCGATTCTAAAAATGCAGTAACATTTATCCTCCACTGTCTAACATTGGAAGAAAAAAAAATTCACTTTCTCTGTGTAGAAAACCAAAAATACACTTAGGTTAAAAAAAAAAGGTGCCCGGTCTCTCGCAGGCCTCAGTCATCCAGCTTTGACTTCTGACCTGTTCCATTTGCTTCAATTACAAGACACTGGTTGGATTTCTGCCATGGTTTCACTAAATGTACCACACGGGGGCGGTGTTGAACGTTGAATAGTGCAAAAGGTTTCAGGGCAGAAGAGTATAAAATACTCAAAAAAAGTAAAAAAATGCGACCTTTGATTTAACTTAATAGAACTCTGACCACAAAAAAAAAATATATATATACACATATATATATATATACACACATATATATATACATACATATATATACATACATATATATATATATATACATACATATATATACATATATACATACATATATACATACATATATATATACATACATATATATACATATATACATACATATATACATACATATATATATACATATATATACACATACATATATATATATATATACATACATATATATATACATATATATACATATATATATATACATACATATATATACATACATATATACATACATATATATATACATACATATATATATACATATATATACATATATATATATACATACATATATATATACATACATATATATATATATATATATACATTTTTAAAAATTAATGTTAAATGTTGGTCTTACCACATGTCCGTTGCCGTGCTTATTGGCTCGTAATTCAGAATCTCAGGAGCTGAAAAAGAAAGGAATGTTAACATGCTTTTTGATTCGCCCGAAAAGGTGGATGTAAGAATTTGTATCTGTAAATACACACAGTATGTCAGTGGCATGTCAGTCAAATATCGTCAAAATACTTTGTATCAGTGATCTGTAATATATATTACATGTAGACAGGTACGCTTTCTCTCAATGTTTGATCATATGTCTCTGTCGGTATTTTTCTTTTGGGGTGACCTGTTATACAAATGGGGTCGCGTGAAATGTCTAGGATAGTTTGATAAGTCAAAACTTATCTTCTTTTCTTATTGTGTGCTGTTAGAAGAAGGTTCCAAGAAACTGAGCAACTCACCAACATACTCCGGGGTTCCCATGATCTCTCTGAGCTCCTGGTGGCTGCAGACCATCCTGGACAGACCAAAGTCCACGATCTTGACGTCACCCAGAGGAGAGCTTCTGGTCAGCAGAATGTTCTGGGGCTGCAGAACATTAAACACACAGCACACATTGGGGAACATCAGCAAACTGGATGCGGTTACATTTGCGAAAAATTATTATTTTTGTTGTTGTTGTTGTATTCACTCTTCAGTCACTGTAAACACTGCTGATTGAAAATTGGCGTAAAGTGCCGTAATAGTCAAGACTCTCAAGTTTCCGATACTGGGCTGTTTGCGCCTGTTATCATCTGCTCCTCAAGCTAGCGTGTCATTAGCTAGCGCAAAATGGACATGTTTTTGACAATGCTTAAAACATTTTCGTTAACAATTTGCTGACGCTAAACAAGCGTAATAATCATTGGAATGTCAGTGAAGTTTAGAAAAGGTGAGAAAACAGCTGAATAAGGTTACATGTGCATGCGCTTGTGAATTTCACGGCTGACCTTTAGGTCAAGGTGGACTATGTCGTTCCGGTGTAGGAAGGTGACTCCCTCTAGGATTTGCCTCATAAGCTTCCTCACGTCCTCTTCACTGAAGGCCTCGTCATCGGACACGCACTGGTTGAAGATCTCACCTCCGGCCGCACTGCATGAAACACATCAGACGAGGGGATTTAAAATACTGTCATCATGTATTCATGTTGTAGTGCCGTTCATGGGTAGGGGGGGGGGTAAAGACGGGCTTTAATGGCTCTGCGTGATGCAGTTTTCAATACATGTTCAATTAATAACAGGGGGAACTGCAAAAAAAAGTATTTTAACACAATAAAAATCTCAATGAACATTTGAAAAGCAAATTGATATTTAAGCTCATTCAAGGATAGTACGATGAAGAGCTGAAAGACTTCAGAATACTTCAGTAATGTCGGGGTCAGTATTGGCCAAGAACTTCACAATCGGTGCATCCCTAGTAATCAGTTTACACTGAGATATAATAAATAGATAATGACTAATAAATGTGTTGTTTTTATACATGTGAAGTTTCCCCAATTCCAATTCTTTCTACTGAAGTGAGGTACAAAAAAAAAACCCACTTTTTTTTTAATGTGTCACATTGTGGGACGAAGCATTGTTCCGCCTCTGCGACTGTTTTTTTTTTTTTAGATGTATCGCAGAATAATAACAGGGTGATCACATTCACTGAGGTGTGAGTGTGGACAAGTCTCCGGTCTGTTGCACCTGCAGAAAAACAAACTAACAAATTTGACTGTAATTTAAATGTCCTATTTTACCCGAGCTGCATGTGTTTGAAATGTGGAAGGAAACCAAGTGACCCAAAAAAGAAAAACCTAAAACACCGCTCTGGTTCCCTGTTTCATCCACAAGTTCATCCAAAAAGAGAATATGAAACTGCTCATTACACACAACTTGAGGACCATGAGGGCACAGAAACAAATCACTGGCGGACAGTTTTGTTCAAATCCCCTGTGTTGTGATTTGTATGTGTTGTCAGAAATAGCAGGGTAGCAGCAAAACAACACAGCGATGACACCTTTTTTTCCTGTTGATTCTATTTTGGGAAACACCAAAATACATGTCTCTTGTAAAGTATAAAGTTAAAAAAAAGTATAATTAGTGGCCTTCATGGAGCTTTCGCTTTGACCTGATTTGGAATCTTCCAGAAGAACTCAATTAGGAAGAAATAAAACAGAGGGGAAGCAGTCAAGAATAGACCAGGTCTGTGTCCTCAGGGTGCTAATGAATGGGGCTTTGTCCCAGAGGACAGAGCAGGGTTCGTCAAATGTACAGTAGGATTAACAGTGAAACAGATGGGCCCTGACCAAACTAAAAAAAAAAAAAAAAACCAACACTAACGATGTAGAATAACACAGATCTTAAATCTCAGATGTTAGGGAAACCAAATCCTTGACATATGTCATCCACATGTTTTTAACACAATTAAAAACCATAGTGAAGTTCTCCACGTTTTCTGGCACACGTATTATAAAATTCAGTATATTCAAGTTGTTAAGTGTTCAATGTTTATTTTGCGTTGAGTTCATCTACATTTTCTTGGTGGCCAGATATGGATGGTCAGGCCTTTTTAATCTGGCCCACTGAACTTTTTCAAATTATATTATTAAATTACATTATCATTAGACTTCTATCATTACGCCTTTTCCATGCAATGCCCATGTTTCTCCAATAGATGGAGTAGTCAAGCGCTAGAACTAATCTGAGATAACATCAAGGGATGTGCAGATCCATTTATTGACCATTATACAATCAGCCAATCACAGGCACATTCACACCTACAGTTAGCTTATAGTCCTGAATAATAACCTATAGCGGGGTTTTCACAGGCACATTCACACCTACAGTTAGTTTGTAGTCCTGAATAATAACCTATAGAGGGGGTTACGAACTATATTTGTTGGCGGGCCAGAATTTTTCTAGACAGACACCTTGGAGTCCAGGTTCTAACATTATTGTTAGGGCCGGATTTGGCCCAAGGCCTGTCAGTTGAAAATCACTGATCTATGCCGTTAAATCAGAGCCATTATTCCATGTAGCTCCATGCAATTGTACAAAAAGCTACAATACTATTTCATTAATAAAATTTGTGTTTTTTAATCATTCCATTTTTTTTAAAAGTTGAGTTTGAACTTACAGGACAAATTAGAATCAATGTATGAACATTGGGTTACTTTCATTACTGGGTCTACCCACTGATGAGATACAAAAATGGCAGACCCAGAAAAGAGATTCATGCCATTGGCCACTAAATAAAGCTCTTGTGTATGAGACCTGTAAAAGTAAAAAGGTGACACATTGGGGAAATTAGTGAAGTTCTCATTATTATTGTAGTACAACTGGATTTGGTATTATCTAAATCTCCAACGAAAGAATGTAAGGAATGTACGTTGTGGGGGAATCACATGCTGACGGCAACTCTGTGGACTGTGTGTGTGTGTGTGTTTGTGTGCACAATGTGAGCTTAAATTTGAAAAATGTTCTCCCTTAGAGACACTTATACGATTTACTGGTACAGACTCTAGAAGACAATTACAAAATAATCAAGAAAGGGACAAGAAAGAGTCAGACTTAATTAATCAAAGCAAAATTAATTGCACCTACAAGATATATGACTTACCAGGGGTCTTCGAACCCCGGTCAGCAAACTGCCATGGGCCATTTGGTACAGGGCCAAATTAATATTTTACTTCATTTAAAGAGAAACTGGCAATAAACTGTCATAAACCAATACCTAAATAAAACAAAATCTGAAAGATATTTTATTTTGAAAATGGACTAATCCTTAGCGATTCCTTAACAATCCTTCAATCATTAGTGCGACACTATTGGTCCGCTACATCAGCTGGTAAGAGTCAACCGGTCCTTGGTACAGAAAAGTTTGAGGACTGCTGACTGATACAACTTGATTTACGGCAGCATTTTGATAATGAGATGTAATTTAAGAGCTACCCCGTTTGATACACACTTCCTGAATAATGTTCAATATTCTTTAATGTATGTTATCAATACGGCAAGTTGGAAATATCTGCCAATACTGACAAGTGTAACCACTGTTAGCCCCCTGCCCAAAAGACTAAATGTGTCACCCACATTACCCCGAATATGGTCTGGGTGTTGTTCCTGAACCGTGACACTTGCTTTGAAGTTCTGCAAGAGGAGGTATTCGCTCAGTCATAGTTTAATTAGTGGGTTGCAAATGTACACAAACAATTCGGTGTCAATTCAATTTGAGGGGTTAACATCGACTCAGCTTTGATCAGCCAACCATGAGGTTCAGTTTTAGATGGTTCCCAGAATGAGAAAAACTAGAAGCGCACCTAGTGACCTAAATGATCTGCTTCACACTTGACCTATTTATGTGGTACTACAAACACACAAACACTGATCCCCAGTGGGTCTACCAGGGCCTCAGCTAGAAAGAAGTCTTCACAAGGTTTTGAAAGACAAATTGTTACTCAAACAATGGCTGCGGAGTTACTCTGGCATGTGGTACTCGATTTCTTTTATACAAGCTGTAGGACTCACCTAGATTCTACAGTAAAACCTCAACTACTTACAGCAGAAGATAGTACACGCTTTGGTAATGGACCAATTTGTTCAAATCCAATGACATCACTATGTATTGGGATAAAAGAACATCCTGCCGAAGTCTCATCAGACTGAAAAGCATTTCTCTAAGACAAGGGTCTTGAAGTCAAATGAGCTGAAAGCCATTGTTGTCAATTTCGTTGCACTAAAGGGTCACATTGGGTATCCATGGTCATTACAAAATAAAAAATAAACCCTGATATTTTAGAAAAGGTAAAGTTTTTGGTTTGGGATAAATATAAAAGTGTTTTAAAATATATTGAGAACAAAGGTAAGTTACAGGTCATTATCAGAAAAAAATGATTGAGATCAAAGGAATTAGAGAATGTACCAGTTAAAGAGCACCGACCTCATTCTGATCCCAACTTTACCAATCCTTTTCATCCCAGTCATGTTATCTTTTCCTATTTTGAGGCAAAGTGTACATTACTAGAAATATTTCATTTTCTTTCAAGTATTTTCTATTTTCCAGTATGGCAAACAACTTAAATGATAGATGACGAGCCAAAAACTCTAAAAAAATGTCACCTGCCAATTATAAAGCTGTAAATTGAGACCAACGACCATTTACCTTTATATGAAATCTAGGAATGGCTCAATACAACTTTTTCATGTCCAATAGTTAAACCATTACTGCAACTTTGAGTGCTGATACTGATATCACTCTGGTTCCTTCTTGTCTTGTCTTTAGAATGCCGTGGGCTGCCATTGCAGATTGAGCCATTACTATTTACTTTTAGACTGGGATTGGCAGCCAGACCGACCCAAAAAACAGTAGCCAGAAAGACAGTTTCTGAACGCAAGACTGTCTACTTTTAAATCCTAAAGAGCCGTGTTGCACCAAATGAGACAGTTTCTGAACGCAAGACTGTCTATTTTTAAATCCTAAAGAGCCGTGTTGCGCCGAATGTAATTCCCCTAACAGTCAATGATTTTCTTCCCTTGTATGACTCTGTCCTCATGGGCAATCAACCATACTATGGCTACTCACATGTGATTGTACAGTTCGACTAAAATAATGATCCTTTGGCTGGAGCCTGGCCAGATATAAGGCCTGGAGCTCACTGACACTCTCATTCATTCTTTCTCTGCGCCCTCTAAAACTGCTCTCTCTCTATTTCATTTACACTAGCACACGATCCCCTTTCTAAGCCTCATCCCTGACCATTACTTTCCTCCCTCCATTTTTTGGAATGGCATGAATAGTGTCGTTGAGCTGACCTTCATTTGTATTAAATCAAGTAGTTACTTAGCCCTTAAAGTAATGTTTTTTTATATTTACATCAAAACCAAACTCAAAGGATCTTTTACTCTTTAGGCTTTAATTTGTAGACTTACTTCATATAACCTCAATATCAATTCTGTCCTTTTTTTTTATCCTAAACAGTACAATGTTGTACTGTTATCTGAGCAACCGTTCTCACTTTGACCTTTGTTAAATCATCTAAATTTGAACAGCTGCATCTGAAGATGAAATTCTGTGAGGTCTGTGGCACATTTTCTAAAGCCCCCAGACAACAAATCCTCATATAAAGAAGCTTATGGCATAGCTGACATGGATGATCACATAGCATTCACGATGCATTAATGGTTTCACATACATAAAATGTTAGGACACTGCTACCGCATTGTATCGTATACACTACAGGCGCTTTATTGCGTGGGGAGGTTTTGATGTTGTTTGGCTATTACAGCTGATCAAGTTTACCATGCATTAAGATTATCACCACTTAGGGTGTACTCACATTTGGGCCAGTTGTTCTGTACTGTACTGAAGCCTGAATGCCCCAACTTCCCTGTACCCCACTGGCCTAAACTCACATTAGCCTAAACACAAGCGTGCTGAAGCGCAATTCACAAATACGTCATCCAAGTTGAAATACGACCGGAGTGGAAAGCGGTGGAAAGTACCAAGCGCTAACGGGGTGTTTTTAGAACATACTAGAAAGCATAGGTCCAGTGGTTTAATAATTATGTATTTCATTTTGAGTGCTTCATCTACAGTCTGTCCTCTACAATGTCAAAGACATCGACAGTGTGGCAGCATTTTAGACGAGCAAAATGGAAAAAAAAAAAAAGTCAAATGCACAGTTAGCATATCACAGCTCGACTACAAACATGGCATATCTCCTAAAAACGGTAATCGAACTTGTCTGGGTTTGGTTCCTCCACCCGTTTTGATTGTATGAACATGGCAGAATTGGCATATTTAAATGTTTTAGTCTAACAACTGCTGGCACACCCGCCCACAACAACGGCAGATACACCCAGACCAAATGCTCTATTGGTTTGATCAGTTATGCACTTGTCTTGATCTGGTTTGTTTAAATTTTCTTTTCTTGAACTGGACTTGCCTTTTGTGTTTAGGAGTAAAAGTGAATCGTGTTTTTTTGTGATATATATCACAATATATATATATATATATATATATATATATATTGTGCTTATATCACTAGTTGATTAGTCAATTTTTAGTCAAAATTTCAGGGCTTCAGTTAAGTAAGACTTCATTGGGTTCATTACAGCCCTAGAAATATTTCATTTGTAAACAGCTTTAACTCCTGGGCTGGGATCTACAAAAATAGAAATATGCAGCTACATAGCATGCAGCTGTCATAGTCTGTTGCAGAATCATGGGGTTAGTTTGTGTTTTACTTGCCATGGGTCCAAACAGAAACGCTAAGGAACATATTGTAGTAATGGGGCAATAGATCAGTGTTTGTGTGCGTCATGATGCAAACATTTCATTTTACATCAGGATTTGTCTGGAATGTAGACTACAGAAGTGTATAATTAATTTGTGTGAGTATGGCCTGATATTCAGCATTGCAAATCTGTGTCGACTAGGTTGGCATTATGAGGTGCACCATCACCAGTCAACGGTAGCAGTCAATTCTGACATTATCCCCTTAGTGTAAAATGTCCGGAGATTAGGATTAGGTGCTGACGATGGGGGAGGACGGGGGGCAACTAAAACATTGATGGAAACACCGTTTAACAGGACAGACAGCAATGTAAAGGACATGCTGCTGATAGCACATAATCTGTTTAATACTACAATCCCTTTGAAGACACTCATATCTGTATCTCGTAATTTTCCCCCTTTAATAACAGAATTAACAAAAATAAATAAATAAAATAACTACAACTACTAATGTAAACAGGGACAGAATATTTACCACTCGAAAAAAACCAACTGTAACATAAACATAATTTGACTTGTTTACATAGAATGTATTTAAAAATATTAGTCGTATCCACTGTTTGACTTCACACTAGATTTTGCATTGTTGTTAGGGCTCTAACATTCCAGTCTATTTGCCCTGAACCGTTAGGTACACTACTGTAACCATGTTTTCAAGTGTCAATTGTTAAGTCCAACTTTTTCGCTACAATATATATTTACATATATTCTATATATATATTTGTATCTATATTCTATATATCTAACTAAAAAAATCCAGATGCTTTTAAAACGTTTGACACATTACCATTGAAGTGGTGCAAACACTGAATAACAGAGTGAAAAACACTCAAGCACGTCAGGGAAAAGCATTTTAATGGCAACTATTTTTGTTTGTCACTAGCTTGTGTGGGAGTAAAGGCTTAAACAAAATATGGAATTCAGGAGCAGAGACATGTGGACAGAGTGCGGGGGTGAGCGTTAGCTTTTTGATCAGTGGTGCACACATCATGAATGAACAAACACACACACACACACACACACACACTGACACACATAGACAATGAGAACCAGGTCAAGCATGGCCTGAGCATAACCAGTGAGATGAGATCATCAACAACTGGTGTGACGACTGTGGTACGAACTACACCATCACGTGTGTGTATGTATATAGTTGCTTTTGTGTATGGTTAAGTTGCTTTCCTCACTGTTACTGATTAACTGAAAAT